CTTGAAGCAGAAAGAGCATGAGGGCAAGGTTACATCCCAGATCTGCAGCAGTGCTGTGTGTGATGTCTAAAGGCACAGCCTGAGCTCCTGGCAGTGCCAATGAGCTGCCTCCTCTGCTTTGTGACCCTCCTGGAAGGACAGGGTTCTGCTCCATCATCAGTTCCTGCAGTACCATACCATCCCATTAACCTCCAGGGCTCATTCCTGCTCTGTGAATGGCTCCAGGCTGTTTGAGAGGACATTGGCACCTGGCCCCTGCAGGTCCCAGCAGCTTGGCTCTGCCTACCTGGCTCTGGCAGCACAGCAAGTCCTGCCAGGCCAGCCCATGCACAGGACAGGATTCATCATGAGGAGCTCAAGAGGTACAAACAGAGGAGGTGAACGCCACACCAGGGCTGGAAGATGTTCCTCAGAGCATGAGTGACAGCAGGGACCTTCAGCCCAGAGCTCAGCAAGCCCATGGACACCCATGAACCAGCAGCCACTTATTCAAGAGCTGTTTTGCTCACCCTCGGTCAGGAGGAGCATTCCCAGCAAGTCAGGGAGGGATCCCAGCCCTGGGGGCACCTCTGGGTGCTGTGTCCAGCTCTGGATCCTCAGCACAGCAGGGACAGAGCTCCAGGAGCGGGGCCAGCTCAGGCTGGGAGGATGAGGAGGGCCTGGAGCATCTCGGTGCCCAGGAAAGGCTGAGGGAGCTGGGGCTGCTGAGCCTGGAGAGGAGCCCCAGCTGAGAGGGGCCCTCAGCCCTGGGTGTCCCTGTGTGCAGGGAGGGGCAGAGCAGGGCCCGGGCTCTGCTCCAGGCCCAGCAGTGGCACCAGAGCCACGGGCAGGGACGGAGCCCAGGAACTGCCCCTGCACAGGAGGCAGAACTTCTGCCCTGGGCACTGCCCAGCCCTGAACAGGCTGCCCAGGGAGGGGCTGGAGTCTCCCTCAGCGGGGATACTGCAGAGCCCTCTGGGCACAATGCTGTGCCCTGTGCTCTGGGATGGCCCTGCCTGAGCAGGGAGGTGGCACCAGGGACCTCTGGGCTCCCGCCCAGCCTGGCCCAGACTGAGACTCTGTGAAGGCAAAAATTCCCCTCAGAGCTGCTGCCAAAGGATGTGAACCATGAACAGGACGTGCTGCTCTGTCCATCACCATCTTCTACCCAGCTGTTTTCCCAGTGTTTGGGTAGAAATCCACAAGCACTTTGTCACACTAGGTCACTGCATCCCCATTCCAGTTCTCAACAGGGGATTCCCCTTGTCCCAGCCAATGCCCCTATTGCTTGGGAAAACACTTGGTGATTTATGGACACCAACCAGGACAAATTCCCAAAGTTCCTCAGTCACCTCAGGGTGACTTGGTCCAGTCACCCTGAGGGAAACAGAGCCCAAACCTAACACCATAGGATCCCAAATCTGACTGGGGGAGTGATGAGAGCTCACAGACCATGGGTTGTTTTCTTGCTCAGTACATCTGGTTAAAGGTATCTCGGAAAAAAAGCATCAACTCGATATTAAAACCTCCAGGGATGGAAAATCTCCCCTCCTGAGCTGGACCCTCATCATTGGTTGGCAACCCATTCCTCACTGGATATCGATTAGGAAGCAGCAATGGCTGGAAGAAACACCTTTTAGCAGAGATTTCTCATCCTGATGACAAGACAAGGATTCACATCGTCAGTGCCTGCCCCAAGAGCTTGTCTATCAAGCCAAGTCATCTCTCAATCACTCTCACAAACTCAAGGCTGTCAGAAGGTGAGGCTCCAAAACTCAAATGTGGTGTTTGGGAAGGGCACAGTCTAAATTGCACATGCTCATGTCTTTCCTTTCCCTCTCCATTTAATTTCAGGAGTAGAGGAATCAGGACAAGAAACAAAAAGCCTTTGGGAGTCCACCTGCTGTTTAACATAAACTCCTCTCTCAAAAAGTGCTTCTCAGCACAGAAAATGTAACATGAATATCATTTCAATGATAGCAGCTCTAGAAAGGATCAAATTTGCTCCAAGTAGCAGTGGACAAAGGGGGGGTTCATGTTGTTTGCTGCAGAGAGACATAGCACAAAAGCTTTTTATCTTTTCTTCCTGGGCTTCCTTTGAAAATGGATGTAGCAACTAATCCCCGACATGTTGGATGAGGCTTGTCAGATCATCCTGGGAACAATTTGTTATTAAATTCACCCTTTTACTGAGGCTCAAGAACTTTGTGCAGAAGTTCAGTTAAAAGCATGAAATCCATTATCAGCATAACTGGGCCAAGGCCAGGCTGGATGGGGTCTGGAGCAGCATGGGCTGATGGAAGGGGTGAATTTAAGGTCCCTTCCAACCCACACCATTCTAAGATTCTGAGTTCTATAAGCACCTCACTGGGGAAAGAGGTTTGAAGCCCATCTTTGCCTAGGCCCTCCCACATTTAACAAGACCTGGGCTTTGGCTGGAGGAAGGAGAACAGCCAATACAAACATCCTCTCTCCTTTCTCACTTAAAATCATGTCCTTCCCTCTTCCTTTCTCCCATTTTTCAGTCTGGATTACCAAAGCAGAGGATTATTTTGCCACTGCAGCCCCAGGCAGGGAGCAGGGAGAGAGCAGGACCAGCACCTCCCAAACCCCACAGGGGTGATCACAGCAGGTACAACTCATGTTCCCATAAACCCCCTTTGCTCACTTTTATTTTTCAGTATGCCCAGCTCAAAGCTGCCCATGACTGCTCAACAGTGACTCAGATGAGCTGCAGTGCCAGCTCCCCTCCACCTGGGAAGGACTGAATCAGCCTGGAAGGGTTGTCAGGCACTGGGAAAAAACTGGGACTTGTATTTGTTTCCAGATAAATTAACAACACCTTCCCAACACAGTGCAGCAGCATCCCACAGCCAGCCTGGAGAAGGGCCTGTATGTCCCAGGTGCTTTGGCTGTCACCACCTCCCATAGTCACAGTCCCACAGAACAGCTCCTGCAGGGCAGCTGGGAGGGGAACAGAGAGCTGCTGCTGCCCAGGAGCACCTGGAGGTTTTGGGTACCAGAATCCTGTGTTTGATTAGTGCAGGGATTGTCCCCTGTGCTGGCACCTCCAACCCAGAGTCAGTCCTGGGCCTCTCAGGACAATGCAGACCCTGAGGGCTGGAGCGTGTCCAGGGAAGGGTCTGGAGCCCCAGGAGCAGCTGAGGGAGCTGGGAAGGGGCTCAGCCTGGAGAAAAGGAGGCTCAGGGGGCCCTTGTGGCTCTGCACAACTCCTGACAGGAGGGGACAGCCGGGGGCATCGGGCTGTGCTCCAGGGAACAGGGGACAAAGAGAAATGACCTCAAGCTGTGCCGGGGAGACTTAGGCTGGATATGAGGGAAAATTTCCCCATGGAAAGGCTGGTCAGGCATTGGCAGGGGCTGCCCAGGGAGGGTTGGAGTCAGTCCCACCCCTGGAGGTGTCCAAGGAAGGGCTGGGCATGGCACTCAGCTTGGACTGGATGGGCTGGGAGGGCTTTTCCAGCCTCACTGATTCTGGGATTAAGAGAAAACCAACAAACAGCAGCTTCCCCAAGAGTTCCTGCTGTCCCCACATGTGATGCAGCCTCGTGCAGCTGAGCAGGGCTGGCAGAGCAGGGTTTCAACTGGAACAACCATTAATTGGCTCTTGTGTTATCAGTGTTTCAAGGACCCTTCAAAGTGCAGTTGCTTGGAGGAGAAAATGCACCTGGCTAGTGGAGCTGCTTTCTCCTCTCCTCTTCACCTTGACCAGGGTATTTTTAGCTGTATGGACAGACTTGCCAATACTTTCACCTTCAATTGTTTGCAAGGAAACTTCTCCCAGTAATGAACACTCAGGGTCAAGAGAGGCAGCAGGAAAGAAGTGATGGGCAAAAGCAACTTCCCAAAAGGCTTTTTCAGTATTTTGTGCCTTCAGTATTTTAGCTCCACTTCTTCCCACAGATTTCCCTGTTCACAGATAATTTAGTTTGCACTTGATTTCAATACCCTCAGAGTTTGGCCTGAGGTTTTGTACAGGAGAGCTGCACCTCCACACACAAAGCACCTGACCATGCTGCCCACGTTCCTTTGCAGCAGATAGTGTCACTCAATTCCTCTGAGTCTCACAGATCCACTAATCTAAGTTCCTTTGGCAGAGAATGGTCCAACACCATCATCTGAAAAGGCTGGAAAGCTCATTATTCCTACAAAACCTCATTATTCCAAAGCAACAGTCTCTCTTGGCTGTTCACCCCAGCAGGTAACATGTCAATGGCTGCCAGATCAGTAAACACAACCCTGGCTCCCACCAGAGCCAGGAGCAGGAACAAGAGAGGCAGACATGCTTGTGAGGCACTGTTCTTACCCACTCATGTGCTGCTGGGCCCAGGAGTGCTTCATTACTGACTCCAAAGCTCACCTGTCAGAGCCTGAGCTGACACCACCCCAGGGCCCCAGGCACTGCTCAGCTGAGTCCAACACACACAGGGCAAAGCCCCCTTGCTGCTGTGCTCAGATCCCCTGGGCTGGGCCAAGCTTCCAGAAAAAAGCAGATTTCTCTGGGGCAGGAGGGTGACAGAGCTACCAAACCCCAGCACACACATTTTAATGTCCTTCATGTGCTGCCATTTCCAGGGAGCCTCTGAGAACCAGGGCAAAGGAACACAGGGGATTTACAACTCTTGCCTGAATTTCCAGCTTTCCTTCAGCAACCTGTTTTTAGTGTAACCCCTCTGTTAGGAAATCTATTATTTGATAATCTCTTCATCCCTCACAGCACCTTTTATTCACAGCATTTACTGCCCCATTTGACACACACATTCTGGTCTGGAAAACCACTCAAACCTGCTGCACTTCACACACCTGAATGCCCCAACCATGGAAATATACTCCCAACACACCCAGAACCCACTCCATGGTCCATCTTAGAGCCTCTCAAGTCTTCTACTTCTGCAGAAAGTAGAAGCAGGTTAAGGTGAGAAGGAAGAAAAAAGGGTGGTGAGTCAGCAAAGTGTAGAAGGAAGGAAAAAGGCATTTAGAAGTCCATTCTTAAGTGGGTACCTTTTCAGCTAAGGCCTTTAAGCTGTCTAGAAACCTCTGCCAGAAGTCCTTGAAGAGGGGTCTGTCAATCCTCCTCAGGCTCTCCTTGGTGCTGGCATCCACACTGACGTAGAGCTGGGTCACAGGCTCCAGCCTCCTGTGAAGGGAAAAGGGAATTGCTGCTTTCACAAATATGCAGCTTGAGTTTGTGCTCTCCTACAAAAGCAGGAACAGGAACTGGACAGGATTTCCAGGGAATGTTCATCTTTGTCAATGATCCTGGAGGGATTTTCCAACCTCAGGGATTCTGTGACTCTAAATTCAGCCAGTTCCTACTGCTGGACATGCTGAGGTCCCCTGACCTGCAGCAGGATCATCAAGGACATTTTTGAAGGGATAGCAAAGCTGTTTAGAAAATAAACCCACACACAAACCACAACTGTGTTCTCCTTCCACAGAAATCCTGGAGCAGAGCCTTTCTGGTCACAAGTGCTGGTCCCAGCACTGGGACCTCCTGGAGAGACTAAACCTCCTTTGCTGTGGGAAGAGCCTGGCTGGAGGCTGATCCCTTCCATAAATGCCAAGGGAATAAGGGAGAAGCAGCAACACCACAGTCCATCAGCAAAAAGATCAAAGGGATTAAGAACAGCCTAGAAAGAAGCTCCCTCAGAATCCCAGGATCACTGAGGTTGGAAAAGCCCTTCAATGTCACCAAGCCCAGCTTGTGTCTGATCCCCACCTTGCCACCAGCCCAAGGCAGTGAGTGCCACCTCCAGGGGTGGGGACACTCCTCAGGATGGAGACAGAGCCTTTCCCCTGACAGAGTGACAAAGGCAGTGAGTGTAACACACCCAACCCTCGTGGCACCTCCCACCCCGGAGGCTGCAGCATCAACAACCACGTCCCAGTGTACCACAGAGCTCCCAGCATCTGGGGACAGCATTTTGGGAGTGTTTTGTGTGAAGGCTGTAATGAGCAGGCACCAGTCCCAGCTTCATTTAGTTCTCTAGAGAGGATAAGAAGAAATTAGAAGCTATTGTTCAGCTGCCAAACAGTGCCACCTAAAAATACAATGTCACCCAAAGGTGACAGGGACAAGAACTGGCCAGAGTGAGACTGACCAGAGCTCTTTGTGTCCAGAAAAATCCACTTACCATGGATACTCAGTCAACCATTGGAACACATTCTCTTGAGTGTGTATTTAGACAGCAAAACGAAATAACCCAGGACAAACTGAACATTTCAGGTTAAAATCTGTTTTGTAAACAAGTTTGTCTGGACTGGCAACCCAAAGCCACAGAGTCCAAAATGACCAAATGTTCTGGGCCTAAGTAAAGTGCTCAGTTTCCAAGAATACTGAGGCAAACTCTTTCTTTACTCAGTGCTGTCTTGGCTTAATTAAAAGGGGCCCTAGTGAAGTTGGAGCAGGTGCTTTTCAAAAGAGGGGCTGAGAAAAATCATCTCTTCTCAAACCCAGGGACAGGCAGGAGACAGACTCACAGCATGGGGGAAATGAAGGAATTAGAAGTGATCCAAGGGAGGGATTTCAGCCCCAAACAGGAATGGCCCACAGGGCTCTGCATGGCTGGGATCCAAGCCCAGGTGAGCTGGGCACATTCTGCCAAGGGGGAACAAGGAGAGGGCAGCCAGGGGTGCAGTGAGAACAAGGACAGAGACTGGTGTTCCTGGGACAGCTCCAGTGCAGAATAACAGCAATTCCAGCTGTGTGGTACCAGGATGGATTTGCTAGCTCAGATACCTGAAGTGAAATCCAGGAGACCAAATCCATGGCATTTACACATGACATGGGCAGGAATCCTGAGCTGAAGTATTCAGCTGAGCTGTGCCATCAAATAAATCCACTTCAGGCCTCCAGCCCTGAGGTGGCTCCACCAGGCAGGCAGGACAGAGCCCACAAGGACCAGGAACAGCAACACCAAAAATTAGCATTTGCTGGTGAGCATTAATAATCATTTGCCCATTATTGGCATTATTATTGATCATAAAGGCAAACCCACACACAAGAGGTGTTCACAGCCAGGGGTCAGAGACAGGAGCCAGGTACAGGTTCAGCAGGAGCTCACCTGGTATAAAACCTCCCTCAGTTTATTGTGAGTCTGTGGCAGGTAGAGTTGCAGACTGAGGAGAGGAGAAGGAGAAGGCGGCCCAGGGGGCACCCACTGGAGCCCCTGTCGTGAACCCAGCAACACCCCAGGCCACACTGCCCTCTCCCAGAAGGGGTTGGAAGGGACCTTAAAGCTCATCCTGCCACGGCAGGGACACCTCCCACTGTCCCAGGCTGCTCCAAGCCCCATCCAGCCTGGCCTTGGGCACTGCCAGGGATCCAGGGGCAGCCACAGCTGCTCTGGGCACCCTGTGCCAGGGCCTGCCCACCCTCCTGGGGAACAATTCCTCCCCAGTATCCCACCTATCCCTGTCCTCTGGCAGTGGGAAGCCATTCCCTGTGTCCTGTCCCTCTAGCCCTTGTCCCAAGTCCCTCTCAGCTCTCTTGCACCAGAGGTCACCCTGCCTATTGCAGGATGAACTTTTTGACTACAGCTCCTCTGCTGACAGCACAGAACTGAGCTGGGTGCCTACTTCAGTTCCCATATTAAGCAAATCATCTGCTTTGATGAGCCAAAGATCAGTTGCAATTTTTAAGACAGCAAGACCAGCATTTTATCCCCTTCTTTTTTTGTTTCTTTTTAAAAAGATTCAGCAGATCCGAAAAGTGCAGCTTCAAAATAGAGTATGTGCTCTCTTTTTAAACTGCTATATTTAGGAAGGAGCAATTTCTATCTACCAGGCTCATAATACATGACTTAAAGTAACTTGATTACACAATTATTCAATCATTTGGAATGCCTTTGTAGTGTATAATTACTCACTCCCAAACTGCCTGCACTCCCCCCTCAGAGCCAGATTCAGACCACGAGGAGTGCAAAGGAAGCTGTCCCAGGAGCACAGAGGAGGAGCTGGAATGAGCTGGGTGAAACCAAGGCCACCCTGCCCACAGCTCTCACAGCTCTAGGGCTGGACTTGCTGCTGTTCTCAACTGCTGGATGCTGAGCAGCCCCAGCCTCCCTGGAGCTGCATTTCCCCATGTGCTGCACTTCCTTTCTACACTTTGGTAACAGCAGCCTGGATGCTCCAAAGCATCAGAAAAAGGGATTATTTTCCTTTGTAAAGACTCCAAAAGAGTTCATTGATGTGTTTGGAAGGTTTCATTCAAGTCCCTCTGAGGGAGGTAAAGCAGATCCCACTTTGCTGATGAACATGTGCTTGTCACCCCTCCTGATCCTGCTGGGGATGCTGGGCTGGACAGAGCTGTGGGTTGAGTCTTTACAGCTGCTGCTCTGGGGTCAGACAAAGATCAGCCTCAAAAGCAATCTCTGAGCTCAGTCCCTGCTCTGGCTGGCAGAAGGACAGAAACTATTCCTGCCCCAGGCACAAACCTCAGCTCACTCACTGCTCCCCTCCTGCCACTCCTTCACAGGTGTCACATTCCAGCCTCTCCACTTCCAGCAGCAATCACAGCTTGTTTAGGAGGAACAGAAAAAAATCAGACTGAGGGAGAGAAAGGGCTGAGAAGGAGCATGAGGAGACTGAGGTTAAAAGTAGATGCTGAGGGGGATTTTCATTGCCAGTGCTCGTGCAGAGCTGACCCTGAGGGGCACTAAATGGGACCAGGACACAGGTCAGCACTCCAGTGTTTCAGGAGGAAGTTCAGGAGGAATTTCCTGCAGCTCTTACCTGATCTCATCAGGGAACTGGGCATTGGTGACCAGGAAGGTGGAGATGCCGTGCTGGTGCAGGAGCCTCACGAAGTGGTTGATGTGTGGGTACATGATGGGCTCCCCCACCAGGGACAGGGCACAGTGCTTCACTGCCAGAGCTTCCTCCAGCCGAGCTGCCTTCACTCCTGACACGCCTGGAAAGGGGAGAACACTCTTACATGAACAGTGCATGGGGCCCTGGGCAACCTGCTCTGGGGGAAGGCGGCCCTGCCCATGGCAGGGGTTGGAACAAGATGATTTTTAAGGTCCCTTCCAACCCAAACCCTTCTGTGGTTCTGTAACAATTCCCCCTCCTAAACATCTCTATCCAAAACACAACCTGGCACAGGAGGGCTGAGAAGAGCAGCTGGAGCCCTCCCAAAGCAGAGGGGACATCAGGCCAGAGCCAGGGCCCAGGGAGCAGCTCTGCAGCACCCAGAGAGCAGCACCCAGAACCTGGGGCTGGGTGTGCTCTGGACACTGCTGAGAGCAATGTGCTGGTAACACCTGAGCCAAGATTAAACACTCAAGCCAAGCTCTCCACTGCTGAGACCTTGGGATGCTGCTGAGTGCTGAGACACAAACACATAGGGCAGCTCAATGCCACTCCAAGCAGGTGTGTTAAGAAAGCAGCCCAGGTCATGGCTGTGCTGCTGCTGGTCCCCGTGGGCCTCCAGGAAAGGCAGCTGAGCACAGCTCCCCAAACACTGCAAGGGACTGAACCCTGACTGGAAACACAGAACGTGCAGCTCCACAGAGGATCAAAAGAAAACCCAGCACACGGCACAGTCCTGAACAGCCAGAGACCTTTCAGAAGGAAAACACAAGGAGCTCAAATGTAGCATCCATGTGAAAACACCATCTGAGTCCCACTCCTGATGCCCACGGGAGGGAGGGGGAGCTGGATGCTCCTCCAGCCCACCCACACCTGACCAGGTGCTCAGGACCCTGGATGAAATCAGCTGCCTCCAAACCGGCTTTTGTTCCAAATCTGTCACTTCACACTTCCCTGACGTGCCTTGATGTACTCAAATCCTATCTGAGGCTTTAGATTGGGGGTTGGTCTGTTTTAAAGATAAAAAAATAAAGTCTGGAGTGTGAATCCAGGTCCTCAGCTCCCTTCTCTTTGCCTTGACGCTGCAGTACAGAAAATTACAGCTCTGCTGCAAAGCCCAGATAAAAGAGGTGTTTGTGGATATTGCTCCAGCCTCACGTAGCAAAGCTGGTTTGGAATCAGAGCAGGGCTCAGTGCATTTTCAAGCAGCCAGGCTCAGTCCTGAGGAAGTGACAGGACTAATGGTTATTCCATAGAAACCTGACAGCACTAAATGAGAGCTTTATTGGAGAAGAAAGCAGCATCTCCAGCACACACTGAGATTAAAGGACTAAGTTTCATATTTCTAAAACTACTGTAAGTCAGTTTTGGAATTAATTAATTTCTCTCTCTCAACATTTTGCATTTGGACTCTAATAATTACCCTTCCAGCTTTATAAGCAGAAGAACAAAATCCCAACATCCCCTAAAGTTTGAGTGGAACTTTCCCAAAAGAGTTTACACTAAACCTGGTACATCCATCCAGAGCAGGGAGTGGGTTTGTACACAATCACTTGAGCACACAAATCACCAGCCAGGCAGGATAAACTGCCCAGGACTGGTGTATTCCAGGAGGGCAGGGACTCTCCTGAATCCCCATGGCTCTGTTCCTGCCATCAGCTCCCAGCAGAGCACATCTCCCTGAAAAAGCTGATTCCAGCTGCTCCACTAACTTGGAAAAAGACAACACCCCCTGGCACAGCACCCTGGGGAGGCTGGGGGCTGACTCTGGTACCCCTGTAAGGACCTGAGCAGCACCACAAGAGCCTGGGGGCCAGGGGGATGAGGGACCTGCTCTATCCATGCTGATCCATGTACTGGGTACTCTGTACCATGGGTACTCTGAGGATTTCCTGGGACAGGTCATGCATTTATCTTTGGCTTTTTTCCCTTTATTATCAGACTCCCACTCTCCCATTCCTGAGTTATGTTTCCATCCTGTGTGTGCCCTTTGCAAGGGCACAGAGATTTACAAGTCACTCCCCAGAAAAATGTATCCATCAAATAAACTTCGCAGCCTCACTCCCTATCAGTGAGGTGTCTCTCCGTCATTTAATCCATGAGAGAATTATGGAGCTTTAATGGCTGTGCTCTCCAAACCCAGCACAAACTGTGGCAACACTAAAGCAAAAGATGATTTATCATCACCCATAGCCACCCAGAGTATGAGGGCTCTCCTGTAGGGTATCCTAAAGGATAAAGTGACACAAGAATTCTGTTCCTTCAAAGGAAATCTCATTTTTACTGCAATGGGTTGAATGAATAAAGCATCAGATGAGCTCACCAGTTTCTCTGGCCCATGGAATGGGTGTGTGGATGGATCTGCCTGCAAAGCTGTGGGACTGGGACTGGAAAGAGCAGCACCAACTTATTCAAATGGCTCAGGGAGGAACCTGAGCAGCACGCCCAGACACTGCAGTCCTGAGGACTCCCTAGCTAAGACACTTCCCATGTGTTGATTCCCCAGAAGCCCAAACAGTCTATATCAGGGGCCAGGGTCCAACACCTCAGCCCTGCTGGGACACCTCTGGAGTCCCTATGTGTGCCCAGCCAGTGCTGCAGGATCAGACACATTAATGCTGAGAAATGGAGATGGAATCCAACCATCCCCCAGCACTGCAAGGTCACCATTAACCCATGTCTCCAAGTGCCACATTCCACACAGTTTATAAACCTCTCCAGGGCCGGGGACTCCACCTCCCTGGCAGCTGTGCCAGGGCTGGACAACAAATTCCAGTGAAGGAATTTTCCCAATATCCACCCTGAGCCTCCCCTGGCCCAGCCTGAGGCCGTTCCCTCTCCTCCTGTCCCTGTTCCCTGGGAGCACAGCCCGACCCTCCCCCCGGCTGTCCCCTCCTGTCAGGAGTTGTGCAGAGCCACAAGGTCCCCCTGAGCCTCCTTTTCTCCAGGCTGAGCCCCTTCCCAGCTCCCTCAGCCCCTCCTGGGGCTCCAGACCCTTCCATGCATCCATTGCCTCAACCATGGTGTTTCTCCTGGTGCCCCTGGAGTAAAGCCCTGCCCTGAGTGTGCCTCTCACCCTCCCCAAATTTCCCTGCAGAGCTGCTGAGTGGTTTCAGTACCACCATGCCCTGGGGCAGGGGATGTTTGACACAGTGCCAATGACACCCCAGGCTCAGGAGTGAGGTTTCATTGAGCTGCTGCTCCAAACCAGCCACGTGAGGAGAATGAAGCCCATGGGGCCCTAACCAGAGCTATTTTTCCATCCATTATCCAACTGCAGATATTGAGGCAGAGCAGCTCAGCTCTGCTGACAGAAGGGCTTTGTGCCTGTCACATCCTGGATCCATTGGATTCTCTTTTGAGCACAGCCAACCTAAACAATCGGGTTCCCAAAATGACAGCCAAGGCCAGGGCTCATCCTGCACGTTTTATGGCTGTTCCACTCCATTTGTGCTGCTCGAGGCAGCTGGGGAGAGCAGAACCTGGAGCTGTCCTGTTAAACTGGCCAGCCCTGCCAGCACACACAGCTGACCTTGGCACAGCAACCAGATCACCACATTTGGGAAATAAAACCCCCAGCCCTCTCTACAGTTATAGACACAGAATATCAAACTTCCAGGGAATTTCTGTGGGAAGCAAGCTGCAGTGCTTTCCAAAGATGCTGTGGAACCGGAGCTTCAGTCACAACCACTGGTACTGAATAATTGCTGAAAATCAAAATCCCCTGCTTGCTGCTGTTTCCTTATTCATAAGACAAACACAACCCAGAAGCTCCAGGGTAACACAAAGCTGGGTGTTAAGGCTGGCAGTGTATTTCTTGTCAGGTAAGAGGCTGATTGCTTTTGCTTCCTACCTGCCCTCACCCCTCCAGAGGAGCCAGGACCCCCCATCATCCAGGCTGGCTTTAACCACTGTGGAAGGCTCTGTGCACACAAGGGAAAGGAGTTGACAACTACCAGGTTGCACCAGAGGCAACTCCACTCTACTCCCTCCAGGCAACAGCACATACTCAGTGGCTGAACCTCATTTCAGAAGGCATTAAATGTGCCACAGCAGTTTCTTCTCCCCCATCCTCCTGATTCCCTGAGCCTCAGGCCTCCTTCCCAGAGGTGCAGAACATTCTCACCTGCTCTGAAGATGTCACTGCTGGTTATCCTCTAACAGCACCAGGGGTGGGGACAAAGGAGAAGTTACCTTTGAACTGCCTGATCATGTTCTGGTGCTTCTCGAGGGCCTCCTGCAGGATCACTTCAGGCTGGTCCATCTTCCACCGCCACTCGGTGCCCACAGGGTTCGTGTGGTGTCTGAGGGAAGAGAGGACAGTCACCCACTGCCACCTGGAACCCACCTGGAGAACTCACCTGCCACCTAGGGACTTTGGCATCAACAGCATTCAAAGCAACAAAAGATCCTCAGCAACTCCTGCTGCTGCCCCAACCTTTGGATGCCACCTCTGAACATCTCTCTTACACCCCTCTCCTTCCAGGCTCTGGTCTCCCAGAGGGAGGAATGGGCCTTGTGGATAATATTACACTTTATACAAATATTTTGAAGCACAGGTGAAAGGTTTCTAAGCCAATATAATGTCTGCAAAAATGTCTGTAAAGAAAGGGAAACTGGCTCTGCCTCCTGTTCTGCCCACAGCTGCACCAAGCTCTGGAGAAGGGAGGTCCCAGGCCATTTTTAGTTCCATTTCCAGGTACCAAGCACCACCCTGAGGACAGGATTTGTTGCTACCCCAATCTTTGTGTGGTGCTCTGGTACCAGGACAGATGAGGGCAGGCTCCTCCAAACCCCCTGAAGAGAGCAGGAAGCCTGTCCTGTACCCAGGATGCATTCCTGGGGGATCTGGGTCATCTCCCAGATTTTTATCTCCCTGACCCAAGCAGATTGCAGGGGAAAAATCCCAGATCTTCCATCTGAGGAACAGCTGGGTCACACTGGGGTGGGAAGCCAACCTTGCCTGGAAAGGATCACTGTCCCCATATTCTGTTTTCTTGGAAAACAGCAAAAGCCAACCCAGTTAAATCAACCCAAGCATCTGCAAGACCCATAGAGTTCCTCCTCATTTCTTACTTTATTAGCATGAGAGGATCATCCAGCCCTTAAACATCATCTAAGGAAGTCAATGAAATTCTGTGTTTTCACTCTGTGTTCTCTCTCCATCTTTTCCTCCTTCATCCCAAAATATGCTCCAAAAGTCCCCTCAGTTTTTCCCTACCACTCCCCTGGCAGCCCACAGAGTTCGTTAAGAGCAGCACATTGTGCAGGGTCTTTCACAAAAGCTCCTGGATTAACTCACCTCTGGACAGGAAAACAAGGCCAACCAAAACACTCCTGACACTCTGTTTCCAGCCAGGTGACCTCTGCTTCCTGTAACCTCTCCACCATCCCTGGATGTTGGATTACGCCTTGTTCTGACCCAGAGATGGGGCTACTGAGAGGTGTTTTTAAAACTTTTATTCCATTTTTAGTCTCATGAGAAGGATGGGACAATACAGATGTTATAAGCCATGCCATCACAATCAGAAGCCAACTATTTCCTAATTACAATACACTGTAAGTGTTCCTTGGCCTATCAGCTTTAGCCACACCATGCTGTAAATGCCTTAAAGCCAATCATCTAAAATTACCTCTTGTGGGTCCCAGTACAATCATCTTTCATAGTTCTATTTCTCCAAAGTATCCAACCTTATTTGCAAGGCCATCTTTTGAAACTTGTTTCTAGTTCCATTTGTCTCTCAACAATATCTGTCCTACTCCATGGCATTTCCAAGTCAGCATTTCTTATTCCAAAGTTTACATACATGCACACTGTGTGAACCTTCTATCAAGCTTTGAGAATTCTCTACAAATCCATTTCCCACATTTCCCCCTCTCTCTCGAATGGAAAAAACTTTTTTGATGGCCTTGTTCATCATTTGTCATGTACAGTAAAGTACATAAGGCACTATTACTAACACTGTCACTACCACAATTAATGCACATGAACTGTCCAGCCCTGGGGACACCTGGGAGGTTACAGTTGCATTCAGCCTTCCAGCTCCAGGGCATCAGGACAGGATTCCCAGCCTTTAACAGGAGGGAGAAGGGACAGGGGAGCACTTTCTCAGGATGAGGGGGCTGGTCCAGTCCTCACTGGAGACAAGAAAAAGGCTCCCAATGACCTCTGGACAGGGGGGAAGGGGTTCAAACCAAAAGAGAGTAGGTTTGGGTTGGACATCAGGAAAAAAAATTCCTCTCTGGGAGGGTGGGCAGGCCCTGGCACAGGGTGTCCAGAGCAGCTGTGGCTGCCCCTGGATCCCTGGCAGTGCTCAAGGCCAGGTTGGACAGGGCTTGGAGCAGCCTGGGACAGTGGGAGGTGTCCCTGCCCAGGGCAGGGGTGGAATGGGATGGGATTTAAGGTCCCTTCCAACCCAAACCAGTCTGGAAAGGGTTGTAACTCCAAGTGAGAAACACCTGCAGCTGCATTGTCTGATAGTGCTAAAACACAAACCCAAGCTCAATAAAATCAGGCTTTTGGCCCAAACATTTCTTCATCCACTTCAAGAGCAAAGATTCCAACACTGTTCTCAAACTCACCACCTCAAGGATCCTTTAAGCCAAAACAGCTTTTTGAATTTCACTTTTATTTCCCCATCTGGCAACATGGAAAGTTTTCTGAATGTCAGCTATAAAAGGCATTTATAAAACTCTTCCATGTTTAACTGCAAAACTTGTACCTTGTATATTTAATAGGGCCAGCTGGCAGGAAATCAATAGGCTCTGGGTGCACCCTGGACAGCTATTAGTGTCCAACAGGCCCTGCATTCTTAACACATCCTACTGTTTAATAAACACACCAGGTCAGGTCTACAGAGCTGCTTATTTGGCAAAAGGAGGTTCCCTGACAAGAGGAGGATAAAGCAGTAATGCCTTGAGCTCAGGAGGTTGTTTCCCAGTCCCAGCACAGACAGAACACCAGAGCCACCTGCCCACTGCCACCAGGCTCTGTGACCTCCCACCACCCACCTCTGGCTACACCAGCACTGAGCAGCAATTTGTGTCAGGGATTCCTTCCTTCCATCCCAAAGTAACACAAGTAAAATGAAATCTCCCCAAACCCACACACAGCAAAAGCTTGATTTTAGCAGAGATTCCAGGTGTGAAACAGGTTTGGTGTGCTGCTTCAGAGACACCTCAGTGCCACAGCCCCACTGTGGCAGGGAACACAATGCCCTGGAATTCCCCCAGCCACCCAGCCTGCTCCCATCCAGCTTCCCTGCAGTCTCAGCTCACCTCTGAGCCACCAGGAGCCTGGGACAGCATTCCCAGTGTCCCTTGCAGGTTCTGGGACCCCTGTGAAGGTGCAGCTTCCTCAGGGCTGTGATCTGCCTCCCCAGTCACTTCGGGGCTATTTTAATAAATCAGCTTTTGCTTTATACATTCTGCAAATGGCTGTTAAGAGGTCCTGAAGGCAGATGCAGCTGAGGTATAAAGTATCATTCACCGCAGGCATTGACTGAGCCAGGGTGATACCTGGTGGGGAACAGGAAGGTGAGGAAGTGCTGGTGGCAGTGACATGAGAGGACAGGGCACACCATTCCCAGGGAGGGCAGGAGCAGAATAAAAATAAGAAGAGTTCAAGAAGCAGTCTCAGTGAATTCTGAGAGCCAGCAGGGAGATTCCAGAGGAGAGGAGCTTAAGGCAAAAGAACTTCATGAGAACTGGTAGTTTTGGAAGACCTATTAAGGCAGAAGTGCAAACTGCAGCAATAAAAGGCAAAGACAAAACAACAAAATCAATCTGCTCTTCTGCAGCCTCGTGAGCCTCCAGCTGCAAACAAAAGAAGGAGCACAAAAACACAGGGGCACCAGCAGAAAGGGGAAGGCAAAACATCAGCCATGACCAGGAAAGGACACAAAAAAGAGATCCCAAGGACTCTCTCTGGAATGATGGAAGGAGAAAGAGGGAGACCACAAAAAAAAAGCGTGGGCAATGCACAAGCCAACCATGTTTAATGTTCCTGCTGTACAAAATGAAACCTGGCTGCTCCTTTTCTTCTGCACCTCCTGAGAGCAACAGGAGGAGCCCAGCCTGGGCTGGGCAGAGCCCACAACTGAGACACAGAACCTGAATTTAATGTTTTCCCTAGGATGGGTGAAGTCACCCTGGAGCAGGCTGGATAAATTGGATGACAGGACCAGAGGGTGCCAGGGGTGGCTTAGACTGGATATTAAGGGAAATTTCTTCATGGAAAGGGTTGTAACAGGGCAGTGGTGGAGAGGTTTAAAAGCCCCATGGACGCATCATTTGAGGACAGGGTCTGGTAGCCTTGGCAGTGCTGGGGGAACAACTGGACTCAAGGATCTTAGAGGGCTTTTCCACCCAAAAGAATTCTGTGATTCTCTTCCAATTGAAACCTTAAAGATGGAAGATGCCCCATGCTGAAAAGCTCCATCCTAACTCTGAGATGCTCCCTTTTTAAAGAGCAAAATCTCTGGAAAGGCAGGTGATGCTTAGCGTCCTGTGCTTGTGTCTACCCATCCCACCCCATCCCTGAACCCTGCTCAGCACAGATTCCCAGACCATTCCAAAACTCACCTGGATGGCAAAATGTGCAAATTCACTTTCAAAGCCCCCAGCCACTGCCCCTCATCAGTGATTGCTGGACCTGGCACCATCCCCTGCAGGGACACCCAAGGCCCAATGTGGACATTTCACAGCCCATAATCTGTTTATATTCATTACTGAGGCCATAAATTTGGGAGCTGATTGTAACAAGTCCCAGGACCTTCAAGAAGTCCAATTCCAGGAGAACACAAAGTGCTATTTTTCATAAAATGAAAATTGAGAGATTTCAACCCACACATGAACATTTTCTCCTAGAAATGCCTCAGATGACAGAGCTGGCAGAGCAGCACATGAAGGCTTTTTTTTTTTTACCAGGGGCAAGAACTGGGCACATTGATTCGCTTTCCCTCACCCCATTTATTTGGTCAATTCAGGAGCTCCTGGCAGACAGACAAGCCCAAAACTCAACAAACCAGTGAAGAATCCAGTGTGAGAGATGAACCTTGGTCACAACAGATCCTTTCTGGAAACAAAACCACAACCAAACTGAAACCCTGGGAGAAAAGGGCAGCTGCTGGGCAGAACCAGGACTGGGGGCTGGACATGCACAGAAACTCTCTGAGCTTTCAGGCTCAGCTTCCAGGTGTTCCAAACCTGCAGTGTCCACTCCTTTGATATCACTACTCCCCATTTCCCTGAGGAATTTACCCTCTGGAATCAAGTTAGTTACTGAGGAGAAGCTTTTGTTTTCATCTGTTTTTGGTTTCTTCTTAATTTTTTAAAGACCTCAAGTACTTCTCCTATGAGAGATTATTAATTTTTAATCTCTGTATTTTGCAGGGCTTACTGTGATACCTGGCTTTTGGCCACCCACTGATTTAGTGTCTGAACACAACTTCAGTTGCTGCCTAGAGGCAAAACCTGAAACCTCCATGCACAGGTATAAGCATTAAAGTTATAGCAGAAGAAATACGAGCCAATTTCTTCACAGGATATTTCACTCTGTCTGGTTTGCCTCCTCCTCAGATGCAAAAGTAATAAACCCTATTAATTTAAATCTTATTTAGCTGTTCCATCTCTCCACAATAATTGATTGGGCTTTGGACACTGAGCCAAAAATCCTCATCAAATCAGGTCTGCCTGGTGCCTGTGCTGCAGGGAGGTGTCACAGAGCTCCGAACCCACACTTGCTCTAATTGATTAAAAGATTTGGTCACTTGCACATTTCCATTTAGGCAATTAAGCTAAAGAGACACAGCCTCAGTGAGAGCAGCTGGGAGCAGGGATGGAGAGGGACAGACTCCCTTGGAGGACAGCATTATGACTGGCGATGTTGCAGTAACTCAGGTGTGGGGTGTCCCCCTCAGTGCTTTTGATAGAACAGCCTTGGGGGACACCAAACAATCCACCCTGGAGAATCATGGAATATCCTGAGCTGGAAGGACCCATAGGGATCATCCAGTCCAGCTCCTGTCCCTGCACAGACACCCCAACAATCCCAGCCTGGCCATCCCTGGAGCTCTGGCAGCCTCGGGGCTGTGCCCATTCCCTGGGCAGCCTGGGCAGTGCCCAGCACCCTCTGGGGGAAGAGCCTTTCCCTGAGATCCAGGCTGACCCTGCCCTGGCACAGCTTCCAGTCTGCTTTTGCTGTCCCCACAAAAAGCTGCCCCGTAACCCTGCACTGCCAGCCTCTGAAGGGGACAGGCAGGGAAGCATGAGCCAGTCAGGGAGCCCTGGCAGCTGTGACAGCTCCCAGGGACAAGGGGGACAAGAAGAGCCTCCAGTGCAGAGTGAAGCCACATCTCTGACAAAATCCCCTCATTTTCTGAGGATGTTTGGATACTGGCTCCAGCCATGAGCTCCAGTGGAGGTGTCCTGCCCACAGCAGCTGAAACTGAAGCCCTTTAAGGCCCCAACCCAAACCAGTCTGTGATTCCATGATTACTGGTTTGGGGCCAAAATCTGTCAGTCAGGACCAGCCAATTCCAGTGATATCCAGCTCCCAGGGAAAGCAGCTGCACTGCAGCATTATTGCCAAAGTGAGGAAGAGAAAATAAACAGGCTCCTTGGCCTTTCCTTCAGCCATCCAGGGACAGCTCGGTGCTTGTGCAATTGGAAACATTGGCAGAATCTACAAATGTCAAAATCCTCAAAGAAAAGATCAAGAAGAAAGAATCCCAGCAGCCTTATCTGCAAGGCAGCAAGCAGAGCTGCACGAGGAGCCCAGCACAAAACCTGCATGAGGAACATTCTGCCAGAAGCAGATCAAAACTTGCATTTCACATGTCTGCACCAGCACAGATGGCACCTGCTGCTCAGGAGCTGCCTTGTTTATCCTGCCCAGCCATCAGGGCCTGCAGTTCCACTTCAGTCTCACACACTGAGCAACCTGCAAGGTGTGGGGGATAAAACAAGTAGCACAGATAGGCCTGACTGCAGGGTTTGGGAGCAGGGGTGGCACAGGATCAGCAAGGATTGAGTGTGAAAAGGAGGGAGGGAAGACCCCTCTCACAGCTACGTGAAGGCTGCAGCAGTCTAGGCACACGAGCTGGAAAAGTCACCAAAAAGAAACCTTCTTTCAGCAGCAGCTCTGATTTAATGTCTGGGGATGAGCCTCAAACTGAGCCTCACATCTTCCAACTTAAACCTTCCAGTTTCCAGGGGAGGCTGAAGACAGCCAGCTGCATTCCATACGGGAGAGTCCAACACCTGCCACCACCTCACCCAGAGCAGGGAAATAAATTAATCAGTGCTGAAACCTCTGAGCTCAGTGCCCTGGGAAACGGTTTCCTTGCACTCAGGTTGTAGCCAGCAGGAAAATCAGCACTGTAGCACTCATTGTCATCAGGCTGCTGCTGCCAGATCCCTCTGAAGTGACAGGTGACAGTGACAGGATGACGAGTTAGACACACAGGGAACAGTGCCACCTTCTCTGCATCTCTACACTAATGGACTGATTTATCAATTATTGATTAATCTGTCTCATTTCTCAGTTTCTGCACTCTCCAGTTCACACCTGCTGGATTTCCCTGATTCAGCCTATTCCACATCCAGGCTGCTGCCAAAAAATCCTGAATGAGGGCATTTGGAAGAAAAACTGGGAAATGCTCTGTGGAGCAATGCTGGGAACAAAGGCCCTCATCCTGCTTGCTGTTTAGGATGTATCTTGTTTGTGGGGACAGAAGGACAAGCACAGGCAGGGCAATATCCCTCCCAGCACAGTCCCACTGCAGGACTCCGTGCACACCACGTGGAAAACAGACACAAGCAGAAGGTTTTCCTTCCAGGCACTGCTCTGCTCTGAAGCAAAGCAGAAGCTGCACATTAAAGGCGCCATTTGCTGCCTCCTTCCCAGCCAGGAAAGCCCATCCAAAGCACCCAGAAACCCTTTGGAACAGACTTCCAAATGCAAACTGCACAGGATGCCCAGTGTCCAGTGCTCACATTTAACATGGGACACAGCCTTCAAGATGTCCCCAAGTCCTTTAAATGCCCCCATGAAATACCTGCATCATTAAAGCCCGAGGACTATGAAAGACAGAAAGGGGCACTCAGAGGAATTTGGCTGGTTTTGCACGGAAATATTATCACAGAATCCCAGAATGGTTTGGGTGGAAGGGACCTTCAGGCCCATGTCATTCCACCCCTGCCATGGCAGGGACACTTTCCACTGGCTCAGTCTGCTCAGGGAATACTCACTGGGATGCTGGACCACCATCCCTCAGGCTGGGGGATGGAATGGGTGTTATTGGCAGCCTGGGGTAAGGTTTTAGTCCCAGAGGAAGTACAGCTCCCATGGGATGATTTAGCAGGCTGGAAAACAAAAGCGCTCAAAGCACAACCTCCCTGTCCTCCCACTCCAGGCGCTCTCACGTCACTGTTGGCATTTCTGCTGAACCTCAGCCTCTCTTCCCAATCCCATCCTGCACTCCCCCAGCCTGGCACACACCTCCCTTGCAAGCCCAGGCAGGAGTGAGTGAGTGAGTGAGTAGTGCTAGAGAAGCTCGGATCCAGCACAGCTCCTTTCCTTCAGGAATTCACCACAAAGTCAGCACTCTGAGGAAAGGGGAGACTTTCCTGACCAATGGGAAGTCATTGAGTTATAGACAGGTTGTCCTGCCTGGAGAAAAGGAGGTTCAGGGGGGCCCTTGTGGCTCTGCACAACTCCTGACAGGAGGGGACAGCCGGGGGGTCGGGCTGTGCTCCCAGGGAACAGGGACAGGAGGAGAGGGAACGGCCTCGGGCTGGGCCAGGGGCGCCTCAGCAGGAATTTCCCCATGGAAAGGGTGGTCAGCACTGAAGGGGCTACCCAGAGGGGTTTGGAGTGCCCATTCCTGGAGGTGCCCAGGGAATGCCTGGACATGGCACTCAGCACTCTGGGCTGGGGACAAGGTGGGGATCAGGCACAGTTTGGACTGGGTGATCCTGGATGGCTCTTCCTACCCATGTTTCTGAGATTTATCAGCTGCTGTTTTAGGAAGGCAACAGGTACTGACTGATCACTTTTCACTTGTTTAGAGCAGTGGAATTGGTGGGGGTGAAGGTACTTTAAATATGGAAAATGGTCCAATTTCCAAAGACACTGCCATTGCTGAGCACCTCGGGGGGATCACACAGCACACCCAGCCCATGGCCCCCCGAGCGCAGCTGGCTGTGTCCCACAGACCCCCACCCTGGCCAAAGCCCACGGGTGCCTTACCTCCAGCAGAAGACACACTTGTTGGCACAGGCCAGGCTGGGGGTGGCCTCCATGCAGCGATGGCTCTCAATGCCATAGAAGGTGTGCTTGTAGCAGCCCCCACGGCCCCGCAGCATCGACTGAAGGCAGGGAAACACAGGGAGTGTTAAAAACCCAGCTGGGGCCAAACTGACGGCACACACTCGCACACCCCCCACACACAAACACACAGCAGGAAAGTTAAAATTCCCCATCTGGAACCAAACTGAGGGCAGCCATGGATATGCTCCCTTTCAGCCACCCGTGACTTTAGTTCCAAGTCCAGCAATGCCCTGAGCAGGGCTGAGGGACACCAGTGCCACCTGCCCCGAGAAAGTCCCAGCCCCCTATAAAATGTGAGACTATACATGCAACCTTTCAGCCAGACTGCATTTGGGAGGTCAAACTCATCCCAGTGTTAGAGGAGAAAGAGCTTTAAGCTCCTCAGTCCCTTCTCTGGCACACCCCAGTACAACAATGTGCTCTCCTGCAGCTTTTCAGCCTCAGCCCATGAAGAGCAGGTGAAGCCTCTTGAGCTGCAGAAAGTGTTCCTGGAAAAGCTCACTCAGGAGCAACAAGGATGCATTTCAACGCTGTCCTACTGAACACTCCATTCTTTTCATTTATCTGGCAGAGTATTTCTTGCAGCACTAAATTAAATAAATGCCCTGACCTTATAAGCTCTCATTCACAGCCAGTAGTGGCTCCAGCAGGATGCTGCACTTCCCTTCCCAGCACAGCCACAGCAGCTTTCCCAACAGGATTCAACTCCTATTTATCATGCAGGCTGCTTGCAGGAAAGGCTATCTTTCATTAGCTCAGTTAAATAATAATAAATGAGAAAGAAACTTTACTACTCTCAAGAGAAAATCTGAAATATAACACAGCAGCTTTCAATCTGCCTTCCTCTTCCTGGAGAGTCCTGGTGATCCAACAGCAAGGAGCAGCAGGGAAAAATCTACAGCTACTCCCTAACTGGCTGTACAGGTGGATGATTTAATGACATGGAAAACGCTGTTAATTCTACCCATTCTTCAAATGAGAGAGACTTCAGGAGATTCACAAATTCAGGATATAAGTTATATTTGGCCTTTCCTAAGGCAAACAGACTCTTCTGAAAACATACAGGGTTTCTGTTTTTTCTGGAATTTGACAGAACCCAATCTTTTCCATCTGAGATACCTCTATGAAACTCTACTCAATACTGATCCTGCCAGCCCTGCTCCTGCTTTCCTCTGATACAAATCTCCACAAAGGCTCCTGAAGGCTCTCACACACTGGTGTGAACCTGAAGCAAAGCCACTGCCTGGAACCAAGCTCAGCTCATTTTGTTAGAAGACTTTACATTCAATTCCTGCTTAAGCTAAAAATAGTGTGAGCCCATCTAAGCACACACAGCTGCTATTTATTTTGTGAAATGGCTTTACAGTGCTGCATTAAAGCTTGGATCTTTCATAAAAACAGGTTCTCTGGCTTTCTCAGTCACAACATGGAAGTTTGGCAACTTTTTCTTTAAACATTTCATGATCATGTCTGCCACTTACAATGACAGAAAAGGAAAATGGGTGTAAGAGTGACCAGCAGAGCAGCAGTGGGATCAGTGCATCCCACACACTCCTGACAGCCCAGGGTGGGCTCTCTGTGCTGCTCAGGAGAACAAGACTCTTGATAAAACAGTTCATTGACACCAGGCACTGCAATGAAAACTCTCTGCAGCCACCCTGGGATGGCATCCTAAGGGCTGTTTCAAAAATAAACAAAGTTAATCATGCAGCAAAGGAGAGCTCAGACAGCCAGGACTGATCACTGCCACAGCACAGGAATTACAGATGTGCTGGCATCTTAACGAGGTGTTGATTCCAGAGGTTCCCATCCAGAGATTCTCAAGGGTGCATTCTCAAGGGTGCAGGATGTTGCAACATGGTGGGTGAAGGGTCTGGAGCCCCAGGAGCAGCTGAGGGAGCTGGGAAGGGGCTCAGCCTGGAGAAAAGGAGGCTCAGGGGGCCCTTGTGGCTCTGCACAGCTCCTGACAGGAGGGGACAGCCGGGGGGTCGGGCTGTGCTCCCAGGGAACAGGGACAGGAGGAGAGGGAACGGCCTCGGGCTGGGCCAGGGGAGGCTCAGGGTGGATTTTGGGGAAATTCCTTCCTGGAATTTGTTGTCCAGCCCTGGCACAGCTGCCCAGAGCAAGGATGGAGTCCCCGACCCTGGAGGGGTTTAACAGCCCTGTTCATGTGGCACTTGGGGACATGGGGCAGTGGTGGCCTTGGCAGTGCTGGGGGAATGGTTGGACTTGATGATCCCAGAGGGCTTTTCCATCCTTAAGAATTCTCTGATCAATATTGCTCCCCAAATGTACAACACTAGAGACTTGTGAGATCCAGAGGGACCTGCCAAGGACAGCTGAAACCACACCCACCCTGAAGGGGCTGCAGTTTATTCTCCAGGGCCCTGCTGGGAATGTTTTTAACTCTGAAAACTGCCTGAAAAGATACTGAGTTCCAGCTCCTCCAGGAGCCACGTGCAGGGCTGGGAGGAGGCTGTGTCACACAGGTGCACTCATATCCACAGGTACTGTACACAGCCACATCCACACTCACCCCAAAGAACAGGGAAATAATTAGCAATAGTGAAATCATTAACGCCTCCCTGTGGAAATCTGATCTGATAAATGCTGAGAACCAGGGGAGCCCTGACTGTCACAACCCAGCCCCAGCACAGGGGGTTCAAACAGCCTCATGTGCCTGCTCAGGTGTGGCAGTGGCTGTGCTATCCCTGTTCCACAACATCACGACAGGGATACAACCTTCCCACTCCTCCCTCACGTGGATTTCAGTAGGCAGAAGATGTTTTAACAGACAGCAGAACAACAGCAAAAACCAGAAAAGGATGTTCCCAGCTCTGTGCCACAACTCTATTCTCACTCTTTGCAGAGGAATTTTAACAGCTGGAAATGCAAGGTTACAGCTTGAATGATGGAATTTGGGTTTGTGCAAATAATAGCACATTTTAAAATGATATTTCATCAGGAAATTGGAATACCTGAGCAAGTCTCTAGCTTTGTTTTTATTTAGGAAATGAGAAAAGGAAACAGAACGTACCTTTGTCCATCGGCAGAGCTTCACCCCAGAATGGCTCCCAATGAGTTTATAACCTGAAAACAAAGCAGAAATCATCAAAAAGCTGAATTTAGCCTGCAAAAATTGACACACAAAATATACCTGGGGGTACCCAGAGTGACTGACACCGTGGACTCAATGCTGCTCTTCCCCTCTGGCCCCAAGGTGACACACCAGCCATGGCAGTGCCACCCCAGGGACCTCAGCCAACTGCAAATGGTTTCTTTTAGTGGGACAGGGATTGATATTGCTGAGTCTGGTTTGAATCAGGGTGCCCAGGGAACTCCTGCATGGACAGGATGGCAGAGCCTGGCTAACCCAAGGAGCAGGACAGGGAACCAGGAGCATCTCCCTGGCCCCAGGCCATGACCCTAGAACAGCCTCCTACCCAGCACCCAGGATCCCTGTCCCAGCCTGCAGCACAGGAGCTGATTCCCAGTGCAGCTGGGAGGGCACAGGAGGGAAACACAACCAGGGCTCAGCCTGAACCCTACCTGAGCCTCACCAGTTCCATGGTGAGGGAGCTGCTCCTCCACACCCAAAGGAAAGCTGAGCTCAGATCAGCTCCTCATTCCTCAGCCAAAGTCAACACAATTCTATTCCAATGGGTCCAGGACGATTAATTGCACAACGTTCATTAAGCACTAAGTGCTATTATTACCCAAAATGCCTGAGTGGGGTTATATCCCTCTTTGAGAAAAGTGCTTAGAGGCCAATATGTCTGAAGGATTAAAAGTCCCTTCAAAATCAGCATAAAAATAAGAGGGATTTGAGACTCCTCGAAGTGTCCCTCACAGTGGCGTTCACACCTCACTGGCCTGGCTGTCCCCAAACTCAGCACCTCCCAGCTGCCTGCTGCACCTTCCTGCTGCTCTTATTAACACTTTCAAGGCAAGGAAAAATATCACATTTTAGCTATCAAGTCTTCTTCCTGCCAACCAGTACAAACTTAACAGGGAAAAAGCCTTCAGCTCAGCAAACTGGCCTTCAGCTCCTCCACAGCAGCAGCACAAGTGCCCTGCCCTGCTCGTCTGTCCCTGAGCTGCTCTGGCACAGCAAGGTCCCAAAGCAAGGTGAGAGCAGCTGCATCCTAAAGTCCCTCACACCTGCAAGGACACCGAGCCAGCCAGGAACTGCAGGAGCAGCAGATGCCACAGCAGCTGCAGCAGGCAGAAATCAAACTGTGCACACAGACAGGGCTAACAGGGAACCAAACCATGCTCTGCTCCTGCCACTCAAACCCAGCAGGGACCTGCCCAGGCTCCTCTGCCCACTTCACCTGGTGGTGCTTGATCCATCTCCTCGCACTGGAATACACAGGCAGAGTGAACTCTGCTGCAAGAAGGCTGGAGAGGGACTGGGGACCAGAGATGGAGGGACAGGACACAGGGAATGGCTGCCAGAGGGCAGGGCTGGATGGGATATTGGGAAGGAATTGTTCCCTGGTAGGGGGGGCAGGCCCTGGCACAGGGTGCCCAGAGCAGCTGTGGCTGCCCCTGGATCCCTGGCAGTGTCCAAGGCCAGGCTGGACACTGGGGATTGGAACACCCTGGGACAGTGGAAGGTGTCCCTGCCCTGTCCCCTTAAGGTCCCTTCCAGCCCAAACCATTCTGGGACTCTGTGACAGCCCTTCTAAGCCAGTCCACGAAGCCATGTGCAGTCCTGGGACACCTTTACCTCAGACTGGCTCACACTCAGAGGATGCTGGTGCAGGTTCCAGAGGCACAGCCACACACACACAGAGCTGCATGTGGCTGGAACCCAACACCTCCCTGCCCTGGCTCTGTCCTGCCTCTTTCTGTAGCTTTTCCCTGCAAACAGCTTGTCCAGAAAGGTCTAATCTCAGCTGAGACCTCCCTGCTAAAATGTGTGTCCTTACAGGATTTGTGGATGAGAGCTGAAAAGGTGCTGCATTCCTCCCCTTTCAAACACAGCTGTCCAAGACACACTCTGCTGCTGTCACCCAGCACAGTCCAAGCCTTATTTTTCCCATTTCTCCAAATCCAGCACCACCAGTCATATAAGATTATTCTCTCACAGATCACTTGTCAGTAACAGCAACATGGCTGCTTTCAAATGGGTTTTGCAGAAAAATTACATTGGAAATAGGACATGCCCACCCAGATCTGCTACTGAGCTGTTTGAGGGAAGAGAGGAAGCAGCTGAACTGAGCAAGGTGCCAAGCTCCAGAGCTCCAGCATTTTCTCTTAGGTTCCTTAAATCAACTTCCACCACGTGGAGCACCCACAGCTTCCTTTAAAGGCCAAGAAAATTGAACATGTTCAACATCAGTCTTACAAACGCCAGCCAGCTTTGGGGATGAGAGAGGGGTTACTCATCTCTGTCACTGCCAGAAGTCCCAGCTGTGGTGACAGGAGGGAGCAGCAGAGATGTGCAGAACCCTAAAGCCACAGAACTGGGTCCTGCACCCTGTGGGGAACTGGGAGAAGGTGTGGTCATCCAGCACTAGGTGCTAGCCATGCCAAGCTTCTTACACTTGGCCATCAGAGAAAATACCAGAGACCAAGGCTGGACACTTGCTCCCCCGCTGCTGCCAGGGAGCAGAGACTCTACAAGACTGCAAAGCCTTTTTTCAGCACCGGCTGCACTGCTGGGAAGGAGGCAGCAGAGCAGTCTGGGCCAAAAGAAAGGACAAAAGGCTAAGCAAGAAACTGGGAGTGTCTCAGAATCACAGAACTGTTCTGGCTGGGAAAGCCCCCTGAGATCATTGAGCCAAACCATTCCCCAGAACTGTCCCATGTCCCCAAGTGCCACACGCACTGGGCTGTTAAACCCCTCCAGGGGTGGGGACTCCATCCTTGCTCTGGGCAGCTGTGCCAGGGCTGGACAACAAATTCCAGGAAGGAATTTCCCAAAATCCACCCTGAGCCTCCCCTGGCCCAGCCTGAGGCCGTTCCCTCTCCTCCTGTCCCTGTTCCCTGGGAGCACAGCCCGACCCCCCCGGCTGTCCCCTCCTGTCAGGAGTTGTGCAGAGCCACAAGGGCCCCCTGAGCCTCCTTTTCTCCAGGCTGAGCCCCTTCCCAGCTCCCTCAGCCTCTCCTGGGGCTCCAGCCCCTTCCCAGCTCCATTCCCTGCCCTGGACACACTCCAGCCCCTCAATGTCCTCTCTGTAGTGAGGGCCCAAATCTGACCCCAGGATTGGGGTATGACCTGAGCAGTGCCAGCACATGGGGACAGCACATCCTTACTGCAAAGCTTCAAATTAAACATGTGAAAAACAGTGATCAAAGCCAGCCTGAGGGTATCCAGCCCTGTTCCCACACTGCAGCTCCTGATGAGCCTTCTGGAAGCTCAGACCAGCTCCACTCTTCCCTCAGCTTTGCCACAACGTCCCTGTGGCTCTGCCAAGGCCAATGGTGTTGAATCCAATCCTCCTGATGGCCCCGAGTCTGGAGCTGTGGGTGCCAGGAGTCCCTGTGAACACATTTCCCCCTTGCTCTGAAGGGCTGTGACTCGTGACCAATAACTCTAAGTGCATATTTGGATACAACACCTTTCAAACAATCCAGTGTTTGATGGACCTCCTGTTCCCCACCCCTGTGTACCTTCAGACACTACAGCTGAACAAACCAATCTATTTATTATTTCCACAGTCTAATATGCAAAGGATCCCTTCAGTTATGAGCAGGCTCACAGTAATCAGGTCAGCCCCCAACTGAAGGACAAGAACATCTCATCTGAAGGCTGGGTATGAGTTGATCCTGGTCTAGATGATAAATTTTAGATGATCTAGAAGCTTGCCAAACTTCACTGAAATTAAGTGTCACTTTTATAGACGTGAATTAAGCTTTTAAACAACCTTTGGGGTGAAATGAGCGTTATCAGGCAGTAACACCAGGCTGAGGAACATGTGGTGATTGCTCACCCTGACAGGCCAACTGGAGTTTAATAGAGCACAGAGGGATGTGGAACTGGAGAGATGGCCAAAGTCACAGCTCCTGACTGCTCCAGAAGCTGGGGCAGGACTGTGTTCAGCTCTTTGGAACCACACTGCAGCATTTCCACTCCATCCTGGAAATAAGAGTTTAAAAGTCCTTTCTCTGAAACTCAAAGAACTCATGGAGGAAGCCAGCTGAGCGCTCAGCACTGAGCCAGGACACTGCTGCCCGTATTCCTAGGGCACATTCCAGTATCCAGGTGCTTTGGATGTGGTTGCCAGTTTACCACTGGCAGACACACATCCAGTCTTTCCAAACTCCATGGACATGGGTGAATTATGTCCTTAACTGAGCAATTCTGTTATTTTTGAGAGCAGAGCAGGTCAGCTGAATTTCTACAAGCACAAGTGTCGCTATCAGGAGCTGTGTCATGTCCCCTGCACTCTCTGAAGAGCTGTGCTGAGTGGCCTTCACGGACTGCAGACCATCCCCAGGTGGCAAAATGTCAAAAAAACCCCCACAGACACTGAATCCCTGAGGATAGAAAAAACCTCCAAGGTCATCCAGTCCAAGCTGTGTCCCATCCCCACCTTGTCCCCAGCCCAGAGTGCTAAGTGCCATGCCTTCCTTGGGCACCTCCAGGGATGGGGACTCCAAACCTCCCTGGGCAGCCCCTTCCAGTGCCTGAGCACCTTTTCCATGGGGAAATTCCTCCTGATGTCCACCCTGAGCCTCCCCTGGCCCAGACTGAGGCCGTTCCCTCTCCTCCTGTCCCTGTTCCCCGGGAGCACAGCCCGACCCCCCGGCTGTCCCCTCCTGTCAGGAGTTGTGCAGAGCCACAAGGGCCCCCTGAGCCTCCTTTTCTCCAGGCTGAACCCCTTCCCAGCTCCCTCAGCTGCTCCTGGAGCTCCAGACCCTTCCCAGCTCCATTCCCTGCCCTGGACATGCTCCAGCCCCTCAGGTCTGCATTGTCCTGAGGGGCCCAGGGCTGCCCCAAGCACTGGAGGTGCCCCAGCAGTGCCAGCACAAGGGACAGTCACTGCCTGCTTGACACCTCCCAGTTCAGATCTCTGCATCACCAGAAGTTTGCTTTGACCCAAAATCCCAAAGCAAAAGATTCAACACTGAAAGAAAGA